AGGTCGAAAATGACCCATCCACCACCACTCTCTGGGTATTTAACTAAGTGTTAAAAATCATTCATTGATAGAACAAGAAGTCATCTCTTGAATTCAGGTGAGGGGAAAGCAGTGAGGGATGAAGTACAGGTGCTAAAATCTCTTTAAAGTGTTAATTCTGGGAATGACTAGCAAGTTCAGTGGCAGCTCTATCATTGGAAGGATGTTGAGATATGAAAAAGAGCACCCGTAGCCTGCTGAACTTGCTGGACATCTTTTAGGCATTTGAATATAGTGTACGTTTGCTAGTTAGTACAGCCTAATGGATAGCAAAAATAGCTGGATTATCATACCAACTGTCATGGACTTGATAAGAGGTTGGAAGAGTCCTTGTCACTTATGTCTTTCCAAACGAGTAATAAAACCTCTGATGAAGGCCCGAGCTCTCATTCACAAAAGCTTACGCTCTCTATATGTCTTAGTTTGTCCACAAGGTGCACATCTACCCTGCCTTGTTCCTGACTTCAGGCAAAAACAGCTAACTCCGTGTCTCTGCTAATAAAACCTCTCCCACAGGAATGTTGAGCTTTTGTTTAAAAGTACTTTGAGATCCTCAAACAAATTACTCCTTAGAAAAGTAAAGGCATCTACTTTTACTTTGGCATTTATTCAAGTTCAGCCAACTCCACAGGAATTCCTCTAGGTTTTTGGGGGTTTTTTTGAGAGGGGTTGGGTTTTTTGAATTCTTCTTTGAACAAACCTAAACAGAGTACTCTTTTTATTAAGCTACGTGGCTCCAAGCAGAATAAATGCACGATTTGCCCTGTTTTCATCAGTTGAGATCCTGTCTACGACATATTATTCTTGCTCAAGAACTTCTTAAATGTATTCTAAATTCATGTGTAAGCAGACACTTTTTCTCCTGTTGAAAGGTGGAGAGAGTGATGTGTCTGTTTAAATCTCTAAACTGCTTCAGCTTGGTTATGTAAATACTCACTCTAGATACTCGCTTGTCAAGAATGAGAACAGTAACCAGTTAGCGATGTAATTTGTTGTCCAGAAGTAGGAGTCATTAATAGCTGGCTAGAATTAGCTGAACACACAAGAAAACATAATGATTTGTTTATATTTTGTATGTACTTTTAAGTGTATTAATGAAGCATGCTTTCTTCCTTTTCACAGCACTACCTGACATGTTTTAGTGGAACCATAGCAGTACCCTTTTTGCTAGCTGATGCCATGTGTGTTGGGTTTGACCAGTGGGCTACCAGCCAACTGATTGGGACCATTTTCTTCTGTGTGGGAATCACTACTTTATTACAAACAACTTTTGGGTGCAGGTGAGATCAGAACTCTCTTTTTTTGTTACTGTTGTTGTTAAGAAGTGGGTTGTCGTAGTACATATCTGTAAATGTATGTAATTTTATCAGGATGAGGGCAAAATACTAGGTAATGGTTCAAATGCAAGATGACTGGGGAATACACCTGTCGTCCCAATTGGGAAAAGTTTCACAACAAAGTGGCAGTAAAGACACCAAGGCTACATAGTGGACACGTGGGTCTAATGGATGGAAGGCACCAGGCAGAACAAGAAAAAGACAGGAGAGAAAAGATGGAGAAGCTCTGAAAAAAAAATCACACCTCCCGGTGTAAAGGGTGATTCTTTAGCACATTTATACTAGGAACCAAAATAATTTCCAGTTATTTTCAAAGGTGGAAGCTGTGCTGCTTCTGTCATGTTCTGATATGACAGTTTTAGTAATATGATAGTAGGATCTCTGGAGTTCAACATGTATAGACTAATATGCAAGTGTACGTCTCTGCCACTTCAAGAGTCTAGAGGGAAAGAAGTGGGTGAACTGCATAGTTAATCCTGTAGTTGGAATGAAAGGTGAGATGCAGATAAAGACATTTCTGTTCTTTCAGGATTCTTGACTTCGGCTACTTCACTTACGAAGTGATTCACAATGTAACAGCCAGTAAGAAAAGGGAAAGGGGACTTGGTCCCTGACCTTAGTTTCTGCCTCTAACCTACATATTTCAGTAGATTCTGTGTATGGAGGAGAGAAACAATGTTTATATGCCTTAGCTGCCCAGAGCTGCTGGTACTCTTTGCCTGGGATGGAGCATCACCATTAACCTAGCTTGCTGCGGTTCTGACTCCTTTTAATCTGCAGTTTTAATAAGCTGTATCAAAGACTGACTGGCTTTCATGGATGTGCTGCGTTTCCCAAAACAGAGGAAATTACTAGGAGTCAGCTCTAAAATATCAAAATAGTTAAAACTGTACGTGGAGTACTGCAGAAAGACTTCCAAAGAAACATTTGCCTAAACTTTTGACCCTGTATGTGAAAAGGAAAGGATGGAGGAAACTCACAAGGCTATGTCTGCGTTCTTTCGAATGTAGCCAAGGACAAAGTCTAGAAGATTGCTCATTGTATTAGCATGTTCCATTATTATGAGTTTTGCTCTTCAAACATCTCTTATTTCAGTCCAAAAATGATACAAGATGAAATCTGACAGAAAGCGGACAACATAGTCCAAATATAAAAGATTTACTCGAGAAACAGAATCCACGGGTGGAGGAGACCTACTCAGCAGGGCGAGGAAGGCAAGCCCTTTAAACAAATCCTTTAGAATAGCAAGGGAAGATGATCAGCTCAGAAAACCCAACCCTTTTCAAACAATTCAGGTTTCCTGAATTGAACATTTTTGTTGTTGGTTCATTTTCAAGTCTTGAGAAGGCATGCAGCTAATGTGTTTTCTCATTTCCCTTCCATCGCCTTAGAAAACATTTTTATTCCTTTCCTCCCCATAGTTTTCTTGAAAGCTGCTTTGATATTTCATTCATCAACTGCAGACTCCAGAAAGGTGTAGATGACACATTTAGAAAGAAGAGTAAAAAATGTGCCTTTTTTTTTTCTCGGAAGATTTTTTCCTTGCAGATGTTTATCAGCTTCTGTCTTGCAGATTTTAGTTCTAATTTGTTTTGTTTTGTATCCCCATTGACTGACTCACTTGTTACATTCAGTCAAAATATACTAAATCCTAAAATAGACCTACTCCTAGCTATCAGCAGCTGCTTATGAAGGAGACGGGAGAATAATAAAACATGGAGGGCTTCTCATTGTCTTCATTCTAATCCCAGTTAAAGTGAGCATCTCTGCTGGAGTTTATAGCCACTCCAGTGCTTTTTGCAAACATTGCTGAATTCCTGATCTTGCACCTTTTATTCAGACCTTCATTTACAGTCAAGGAACAGCTTGCATACATTGCAGACCAGTAGTTTGGGTTAATTTCAGAAGTATTTATTAAACTTCCTAAGAGTCACCATCCTGCCTTGCCGAAATTCTCTAAGTGTTGTGGGTCTGGGCTGTTTTGTTTTTCTATTCGCTTGTCTTATTCTTGGGTACCCTGTGAAGGACACTTGTCTAAAAAAACACTTTTGTGCTTGGGGTTAAAACAAAGTGGCATGTGCATGCAGAGAAGTTTTTAGTGGCTGAGTGTCTAGTAACTGATAGCACGTGATTTCTATCAGTTATATTTGGATGAGACTTGAATACAGCCACTGTATTCTACATGCAGTTCTTAAAGGTTTACTGGCAGTCCTGTCAACTGAGAAGTATTTAGCAAGTAAAGCCATTATGATTTCAAAATGTCAAATTCCGCTGCCTTAGAAGTCCTTTAGAAATGGATTTAACTTGGCATCTGGAGTCATTTGTAGTTAATCTGGAATCCATACTAATTTTAGGAATTGAAGTTATTGAATAAAGTATGCATTAATTCAAAAAGTTGGATGGGATCCAAAGTAACCTTATGATCTGGTAGGTTAAATCTGTACAAGAAACATACCTCTGTGTGTTAAGTTTTCTGACAGTCCCGTTACCATAACATCAGAGCATAGTTGCATTTAAAATAATTAATTTATTTCTAAAACAACTCTTTAATTGCATGCAAAAGTTCTGTGTTGAGTAGAGTTGCTGCCAAAATCTCAATGAGCTAGGAAATTCAGAGTTGATGTTGAAACTGCCTCAGGCCTGTTCTAGGTTTGGTTAATGCATGCACTTAATGCATTTGTGTGGTCTTAATTATGTACTTGGTTGCTGTTTTGCAATATAGTACCTTCGGGGCATAGTTTCAGCACTAATGTCAAGGCTGTGATGCAAATCAGGTAAATTTTAAGACATGCAACAATGTCTTTAAATAAAAGCTGGGATTATACTGATTTCTTCCTTATGATCCTTGCCCTTTCCCCCTCCAGCAGTGTCTTCAAGGTATTTAGCATTTTTCAGGGGGCTTCAGTATGCACTGTTTGTCCAGTGAACATCAAAGGGATAAGGTAAATTATTCACTCATAGTTACTACCATTTCCTCTCGTCAAAGGTAATGTTTAGCTTTTTGCCCAAAGAAGAAGCCCACGTAGGAAATATTAGCCAGTATTTAGACGACAGTGCGAGCAAGGTGTTTATAGATATTCCATGCACTGCATGTACTTACACTTTTATGCAATTGGGTTTTCTCAGTGGGAGTGGAGCACCTTCTCTGAGACAAGACCTTACCTGTCATAATTGACTTCTGAACTCACTTCCTGACTGCAAATTTGCACATGCAGACTTTATAGCACATGTTTCATCTCCCCTTGTTTCCCTGAACCCCCGTGTCTTGGTTTCATTCTGCCTGGCACCTCTTCATCTCCCGTCACTGAAGTGCATTTCCTCTAGGTTGTGGAGCCTTTCGTGTTTCTGCTTCCACAGCTTTTCTTTCTGCTGTTCTGCACTGTTCATTAGGGGCATGCGAAACGGGCCCTATTCGATTCAGATTCAGCCCAAATCGGGGACAGTCATTCGATTAGTTGATTCGGATCACTGTCCCTGATTTGATTCGGCCAAATCCAAATCTGAAGATTCGATGCTGATTTGTAGACACAGCTTTAGAATTTTTTTTTCTTGCATACATCAAGGTACCAGTGTGGCTTGTGACTGCTGCAATGCTGGGATGCATGGGGCCCTCCATATCCTCGGCGGCAAACCTGGAAGTGGACCAGAAGTAGTTCTAGTCTACTTCCAGGTCCGCTGGGGAGCACCCTGGGGCCGCCCTCCCCCGCTCCCCCAGCTCGGCAGTCGGCCACAGGAGGACCCTGGGTGCCCCCAGACCCAGGAGGCACTAGTCGCCAAGCTGGGGGGCACCAGGGGACCCCCAGCATGCTCCCGGTGGACCTGGTAGTGGACTGGAAGTGCTTCTGGTCCACTTCCGGGTCTGCTTGGGGAGCCCCCCGCACTCCTGTGGGACGCTCCATCTGCCCCAGCATCGCAGCATTCACGAGCCATCTGGTACCTAGAGGTATGTAGAAAAAACATTTAAAGCTGTGTCTGTCTGAATCTTTCTGAATCTCTCCAAATCAATTCAGAGAGATTAAAGGGTCCTCTGATTCTATTTGGATTCAGAGATTTGGCCACCGGGTAGGGCCGAATCTCTGCCAAATCAAATCAGGGACCGAAGCTTTGCACAGCCCTACTGGTTCATGCTGTTTAGCTGAGCCTGCTAGGTTTGCATTTCCCTTGGACTGTTGCTTCTGCAGGTATCAGGATTTTTAATTGTGGCTGTAAAAGCAACCATAAAGTAGAAACAGTAGCCAACGCCTGACTTGAACTGTAAGTGCCCAGTGTGCCAAGGTTCAGTATCAGCTTTTGAAAAAGGGCAGTGTGATTTTTTTTTTTCTCTTTTTTTTTTTCCCCCCTCACTCTGCTTGCACCCCTTCAAAACCTGTGTTTAAAAGAACAGTTTAAATGCCGCTTTTTAGCAGTGTATCTTAATGTGTCTGATGGCTCTGCACACTGCAGCTTGTAGAATAAATACAGAATTATGACTGTTTGTGAAAGTACTTTGTGTTTTCAAAATAGCTTTGTTCAAAAGGTTGTCTTAAAATTATTGCAGGTTTCAAATTTTACTACATGTACTCGCATGGAATGGCTTATCAGTTCTTATCTACTTAATTATTTATGCATTCGCTTAATGACCAGTTTATAGCTTCTAGGGTTGGAAGGGACCTGAGCAGATCATCT